AAGAGTGATACAGAAAAAGCATAAATCACAACACATCTCTTTCTCAGGGCAGTACATTAGAATTTGACTCCCTGGACATTGCATTGTTTATTAAAAAAAACACATTGACATTAATGCCAGGTCTGGTAATGCGCAATGTGACCAATGTCTTTGTTTCCGTTTACATCATTGCTTTGATTTATGCAGTAACAAGAGCATCATAACATAACATCATAGTTACAAAATAGTTACATATTGAAGCTTAAGAGTTTGGATGTGCAGTTTGCAGATTAATAACGAGTGTGGTCTGACATGTCCTATTTTCTACTCCATTTAATCTTCTGTGAATGCCTGAAAGCAAACAAAATTAAAAATTAAAAAAGGGTCTTTTGAACTCGCAGAGTTTGGAACATGAACAAAGCCTGGAAATAACAGGCACACAAAATTGTTGAGAATGCTGCTCATACCAGCTCTTCAACTTATCCCTAGATAAATCCCTAGATTTTCACTTTTCTTTTTAAAAAAAAATCTTCTGACAAGTTTAGCATTTCTGCTTTTTACAGATCAGCTTTGAATATCTTAGATGAAGGATTTACTGAAATATTTAAACATGTAATCTGCTAGAAAGAGTTGTATTTGAAAGGAAGCAGCCAAGTGTTCAGTTCATGAGCAATTTGCCATGAGAGTGCCATGTATTTTAAAGGTACTGTATAGTCCTATTCCTCTGGGGATCCAGTAATTAAATAGTTTACTGGGGTTGTTCACCTGGAGTTCACTAAATCAGTTTTACTACATGTTCTGTAATGATGTGTTCCAAGAAACTGAATTATAATGTACTCTGCAGATGTTTAAGTCAGGGAACACCTTTAGATATTGTTGCACAGTGAGGGAAGGCACAGTATACTTCTAAGAGGCAGCGAAGTGAAAGAAAGATTAGATCAATCTGGAAACTACAAGATCCAGAATCCTTAGCTGCCACAACAGGAAAGGAGTACCAGCTGAACCTGCATAAAAAGGAAACTTCATTGACCTGGGAAAGGTTTTTCTTTATTTATTCTGAAGCTTTTAATTGCTGCTGAAGAGATTCTCTGAATCGGACATAAGGAGTTTTTTTTTTGCTTTTTTTGGTAACTCATTAATGTACTGGAGTGTAGGGTCTTCTCTAACAACATTTTACATCTGAATTCTTTAATAACATCATCCGTCTTCATTACAATCTCAAGTGAAGGCCATCCCGTTGAAGTGATGGGAATGGGCTGGAAATGTCAAAACTTTGTGAATAGGTGCCTGTTCAGTCTTGTTGCATGCAAAAGTCCAGTACATTTGGTAGGACTGATTCTGAAATCATGGTCAGGGGGTTTTAACAACAAATAACTACAGAC